TCTCTATGCAAATCAAATGACAATTGTCACTTCACTAGTGACAGTGAGTCACCTCACCTCACACGCCGCGCAGAATAGGTCTAGATATTGGGGGTTATTCCGAGAGTCGAAGTGACTTTTGTCGCTAGTGAAGTGAGAAAAGTCACGTCGTGGCGACGTGACTCTCTGTGCAAATCACTAGTGACCAAAATCCATTCGACTCTCGGAATATCCCCCATTATTTGGGGACGACCCCGGCGTAGTGGTTAACATCCATACACAGAAAAAATTACCCTAAATTTAAATTCTTTTTACTTAATTTTGGGTAATTTTGAGTTTTGCATCCCACTCTCACTTTTTGTTGTTGTCAAAAACGGAACGAGAGATTCGACTTTCTCATGACTATCGTTCAATAAGCTACTAGTGAGTATATGAGATATTCTCAAATTTGAGTCAATTGAACTTAATTTTGGGTAGAAAATACTCACGAGTAAGTAATTATTTTTGCCGTAGTGAAATGTAAACTACTATAAGCGGTTTACTGAAAATTAGCTTATTGAACGGAACATTGGAGATGAATAAAAGAACTTAATTTTGGGTAATTTTTCGGTTCCGTGTACCTCTCACGCCAAAGTCACGAGTTCAAATCTCACCCCGGACAAGTCTAGAGAGAGCTGGTATTAGGGCGTAGCAGCCGTAAGCAGGCGTAACAATGACTTCTCTTGTTGATTTCTCGGAATTCAAGGCACGCCTACACAAACCAACATATCCATCGGGTAGGAAAAGTCTTCCTCTACTCGATGATGATATCGATTTGCCAGGGAGAGCCATGACTTCCGAGAAATCATCGAGAGATCATCGCCCTAATTCCAGCTCTTATTTATTTATTTGTCAGCATCAACAGGCTCGATATGGTCCCAATGATGGTTTAACTTAAAATTAAAATTAAAGAAATAAGTTAAAACTACAAAACATTAAAACATGATCATTGACTGTTTTCATTTCTGGAGAAGAATAAAGAGAAACGTCTCCGAAGTGTTAGTCGTGGCAGGTGAAAATCGAATACTGATGAAACTCGGTTAAATACTCGCTGCAGTCCGCCTATTGCACCGTTGCGTTGGGCCTTATTACGAGTGTCACTTCACGGTGAAAACGAAGTGAAGTGACCAGTTGTAACTCACGGTGAAGTGATTGCCGTGTAAATCAAATGGGAATCACTTCACCGTGAGTGAGAAGTTGTCACTTCACCGTGAAGTGACATCGGTAATAAGGGCCGTTGATTGCATAGTTTGTCCTACGTAGTGGCAATGTTATGCTGACATTGTTATGAAGCATTCGGGGTTGGACGTTAATGTTTACTTGCTCCAAGATTGCCATGCAATCAATTCTGCCATGTAACGTGTCCGCGACAAGCAGGGCTTTTGAAGTATCTCTTCTGGTGCGAAGAGGCTCTAAGTCGAACAGCTGGCAGCGACTTTCATAGCTGGGCAAATTAAACGGGTCTCTCCAAGGTAAGATTCTCAACGCGTATCGCAGAAAGCGGCGTTGAACGGACTCGACACTCTCAGTACCATTGTTGTTGTTCGGACTCCAAACCACAGAACAATATTCTAGAATGGAACGTACCAGGGAACAATACAGTGACTTGAGGCAATGGATGTCGGAGAAATTCTTAGCTGTTCTGAAGATAAAGCCCAATGCCCTTGACGACTTGTCGACAACGTACGAGATGTGTTGCTTATATGTAAGTTGAGAGTCCAGGATGACACCTAGATCTTTTACATGGCTCACACGTTCAATAATGGTGTCCCGGAGAGCATAGTGAAATATAACTGGTTCTTTCTGACTGAACACTTCGCAGGATTTACTGTCATTCGGTTCAAATGGCACCAGCTGGCAAACGCTTCAAACTGACGTTGGAGGAATTGACAATCATCGATCGAGCAGATCCGTAAGTAGATTTTGAGATCGTCTGCATACGATAGTCGTGGACCTTCGATAACTAAATTCACGTCATTGAAGTAGAGTAAGAAAATCAACGGTCCCAGATGACATCCTTGAGGTATTCCTGACATAGCTGCGGAAGGAGGATGATGAGGAACTTCCTTTACGAGTGGAGAAGGAACCGACGAGATGAATGGAGCCGTATCCTGAGCGCTTACGAAACAGAGGTCTAAGCTACGATTGTTCTCGTTAACCACGGGATTGATTTGAGATAACGTCGCTGCGCTATAGCTGTCGAGAAGGCTAACTGATCTAGGATGGAAAGCAGAACCAGCGGGGTCCGGAAAGAGAAAGCCACTGTGGGAAGGTTTGCACGAAACACCAGTGAGATTAAAGTCGCCCAGAATAATAATCTCATCGATAGGTGACGCACAATCTAATATGGTGGAAACGGATCGACAATCAGTTTCGATAAGTTCAATGTCGCGAACTCGGTCGGGTGCAATGTATATCACATCTAGAAGTCACGAATGACTCAAGAGTGCTAAAGTGACTATAATAAAAAAAGATATTATTTAGATTTATTTTAGAGATTTTATAGGATAAAGTGGATTTATTCAGATATGAATCGATTTAATTTTATTCAATTAGTATATTATACTGTCATTCAGCGTTGGAAAAATTTGCGATATTTCATGAAGTTCACCAAGGAAAAAAATCGCGAGTCATAGTGATTTTCCGAGAACTTTTCCATCACTGCTGTCATTACTGTTCATACTACCATTGCAACTAATTCATTTAGGCATATTCAATTGACCTGCATTGGGTTATTATTGTGCATGCAATGATGTGGGAAAAGGAGGGACTCACGATTCAGCATGGAGAATGTATGGGAGCCGTTCTAGAGGTTGGTTGGGGCATGTGGTTCATTTTAGACATTATGATCCACTCACGTTCTGGAATGTGGCCTTGATAATTGAGATGAAGGTCAACATAATTCTCGCAATATCAAAATCAAAAATTATTTGAACTAGTTTAAGAATTACCCAAGCAAAAAGGCGAATTAGCGGGCTTGTTGGTTACTTGGGTAGATTCCCATGGAATTATAATCCATAATATTATTTCCTAGCAGCCCCCCTCAGAAGTTCTCTTCGATTGATTGATTAATCAACATTTAAGAAATTTCCAGTCGGTGATTTTTAGGCGTGCACACTTAAATGTGTTTGCCGAGATTGGCACCACCGAGCAGCTCGGCATTTATTTTTAATGAAATCTGAACCAAATTCCCGTTTGTTATATGAATCTCAACAAGAGATCCAGCAAAATAAAATGCCGAGCCGCTCGGTGGTGCCAATCTCGGCAAAAATCCAAGTGTGTAGTTTTAGGATTGTAGTCATGTGCTCAAGTTTGCCGTATGTTTAATTAACTTTGAAGGAAGAAAGCTCTGAACTCGCACTGAAATTCCTTCCTTAGAGATCTCTGCAATTGTTTTGATTTGCTCCAAGGCAGACCATCTATTTTAAAGCCAATCAATCAATGATGACAGATTATCATAAAGGTAGATTCGTAGATGAGACATGGGACGATTTCAGTGGATTTCTACTATTCCAAAACACGTCTTTCAAACAGTACAAATTGTCGATGAATCTTGCCAAGTTTCATAGACTTGGCATTAGCGGTAACCTCTTGTGATGCTTTCCCTCATATCTCACTGATCGACAGCTGATGGTTACGATTGGTGAGTGCCAGTCTAGCACCACGACGATCCTCTTCCGATTAGACAAACCGAATCCTTTCCCCGCATTTTCCGCCTGAACACAACTGCTTCCGTTCCACTGCAATCTGGAATGACTGTACAATTCAGCTTCCCTGTCACAAAAACCTAAATCACGTCGTTCCTGCGCTTTTTATTATTCTTCCCCTAGCTCTCATTCCTACAATTCGAAGTCTCTACTTGATACATTTTGTTTTGTTTTGCTGTTAATGCCTACCCATATCTCATCACTAGTCTATGCAGGGCACTACATAATATGCCATTCTATTCGATGCTCAACAATATTTCTTGCTTATTTTTATTTAGTTTGCAGTTCAACCACAAGAAGTCATTTTTTTTTGCATAAATTATTACCCAACAGGTCCAACTCAACTACCTCGTTTTTTTCTTCTTCTTCTTCTCTAAAATAGCTTCCTGATAGCTTTTGCCCTAATTATTGCCTATAAAACACTGAGAAATTTGAAGTTTTACTGGTTTAAACGCCTTTCTTTTCTTTTGTTTCGTGTATTTGTTTGTTTGTTTTTTTTTTTTTCTTTATTCATTTGGGGGGTTCCGAGATTTTCTTTTCTTCTTCTTTTGCCTGAAAAGGAAAAAAAAAGTATGGACGTGCTTACATTTGTTTGGGGTGAAATTTCCCCGTTTCAAATTTTGTCTCAATCGCCTTCTATTTTGCAATTACTTCTTTGTCTTTCCACTACACTGAGAAAAATAAACATTTCAACTACTTAAAAAATATCGAGGGCGCGGGTGTAGAAGAAATCATTTCATTTTTTTTTCCTTTAACTTTTACAAGATTCCTACCAACTAATGATATATGTATATTTTCGGGTATCCAGCTACTAATTTCCGAATTCCAAAATCGTTTTGTGTAAACCAGAGTCGAAAAAAAATCGCGCTGAAAGGGATGGACTTAATGAATGTTTTCTTTTTTGGTAGTCTTCTTGCTTGTTTTCGTCGCCTACGGAATGCGCGACTGGACACATCATCACATGGAATTTAATATAATATGTAGGTATTTAGAAGGGGTAAGAGTTTTGCTTGTTATGTGGGGGTTCGCCGGGGCTAAGCCGTTTGACTCTATTCTAAGCTTTTCTACACAATGCGGCGGGCACCGAACTAGGTATCGGCTTCAAGCTTGTGGGTTGCTTCGAAGATATCCTGTCGCAATGGGTAAACTGTTTGCGAGCTGCTCGTGTGTGGCTTCGTTACTATTGTTTTGTATAGGTTGCAGAAGAAAGAGATTGAAAAGGTTTTCAGTAGCAAAGGAGTAGAGTAAAACGTTTTATATAACGTACTTTCTTGGTTTGTTGTTGTTGTTGTCTTTCCATATTTTTTTTTAAATATGAGTGTGTATAAATATAAATATTTATAATGCTTATCTCAATCGCCGTTCAAGCTTTCGTCTTCGTCTGATTTTGGCTACAAAGTTTTTGTTGTTGTTGTTGTTTTCTTGATTCTCTTAGCAATATATAGTTCCATTTTATCAATAATGCTTTCTCCTTAGGTGAAAACTCTTTCAATTTACACAATCTGACTTTGCTTAGTGTATACAATAGATGATAATATAATTATACTTTAGAGCTTGTTTGTGGTTGTATTTCATTCTAATGACCTTGGACAGAACTGGTTGGTTTCTTTTTATTTCTTTTATATCGTTTGGATCGTAAAATTTGCTTTCCTGACACGTTTAAATTTCAGCTTTTCACTTGCTCTATCTAGAATGCACTTGCAAACGCTTAGTCAATAAATATATATATTTTTTTAGATTTCTTGTTACCTCCCTCCGAATTTTAGGTATGGACTTGGTATGGATGCATTTTTGTCTTTTTGTCACACAATACAAAAGTATAAATAATAGAAACAATTTCATACAGAATTATTATCCTTTCCATTGCTCTGAAATCATGTTTTCTTACACATACCATTTTTTAGTGGGTAATTCTTCTTCCGTCTTGTATGTATATATCACTTTGTAAACTTAATTACGAAAAAAAAACAAGGTACACTATCGAGGATGATCTAGGGTTGATGAAACGAATCTCTTTTTTTATCTTCGGTTACTGATTGAACTCTCCAGCATTTCCACCCACTGACCCCGGCTGACTGAGACAGCTAGCGCAGCGAGCGGGCGTGGAAGTGGGGGAGGTTATGTGCTATTACTGCTACATGTTTATTTGCTACGCCCGAATGCCGCAACGGAAGCAGATTTGGGTACGAAACGCTTCCGGGGCATCGGTCTCAACACCGCGGCAGCCGAACAGGAGCCACTCGACATCATCGCAGTGCTGAGACCACGGTTAAACCCGTATCATTTGCGTGGACCGTTGGCACTGACCGGTTTACCCTTCTGGCCAGCGAATTCCGCTAGTCGAATAGAATACCCACTGGTTACAAGCACGCATCAATCGAGTAAAGCATATCAAACTACTTACCCTTCATCTTTTCCGCCCTCTTCAGCTCTCGCATTGCGCGACCACGCTTATCCAGGATCAGCTTATCCACTCGGACGAAAATGCCATGCTTCTGCTTACAGGTAAAGTACTGTATTCCTTGCACATTGCCATCGTTCTTACCGGTTGGGGTGTCCAATTCCACACCGATCCATGTTCCACCCTGTCATTGCCAAACAATCCAACCTTATCACCAGATCACTATCTCAAGTACAATCGTTAATATTTACCTGAAAATGCGTTCCACCGACGAACGCAATCACGCCACTCGTATTGTACGGCCTAATCTGCACCGACTCGCCAACGACAACCCAATCCGGGATATTTTCATGCTTGCTCGGCGTGGAAAAGCTGCTTTCCATAACTGAAAAAAAAAACATTTTAATTTCCTATGTACATCTGCATAGAAAGAACCCTACCATCAGAATCCTGCATCAACTTCGAACTGTTGTTCTCCTCATCGACCGTTTCGTTCCGATTGCACTCATCCTGTTGCTGTTGCTGCTGCTGCTGCTGTTCCTGACCGATTTCCTCAATTGTCCTGGTCGCCTCCTCCTCCTCTTCTTCTTCTTCCTCAACTTCCTCATCAACACCTTCATCCTCCTCGCTGATCATATCCGTCGAAGCGGAGTGCATGATCGCCGGCTCACTGGCCCGCTTCAGGTGGTTATTGTACGGCCGATGCGCATCCTCGTCGTCATCTTCGTCCTCGTCCTCCTCCTCCTCTTCCCGGTTTCCATTCAGCTCGTCAAAGTTGGCAACGTCCTTCAGGAATGGATTTACCCGCTTCGGGAACTCGCTGCTGATTGCACTGGCGTTGAATCCGGCACTGATTTCCGCCGGCGTGTAGCAGTCCGATTTGGCATTGTTGTGGTCGTTTCGCATGTTGGACGGTGACATGGTTTCTGAAATGATACAAACGGATGATGTTATAGGGATCGAGTATCATACTTAGTACGCGCATTAAAAGCTAGTATAAGTATTAAGAGAAAAACAGAGATATGATAGATCATTTGGGACCTCTAGAATTTCGTTTGTTGCCCTGAATGTTTTGGATTGCCGTGAACATTTTTGAACTTGACCTGAGGGTCCTCAGAACATAACTCTTTTTTTTCCTTTGTTCGGGACATAACACTATTGCGACCAGTAATTTGATCTATTGTAGTATATCCCGTGTCCTTAGTTTAGTGCATGTCGTATTACTTCATCACTATTGAGAAATGATGAAGTATTCGGTTTTGATACAGTTGTCATTCTTGCCTTCATCGCAAGGATTCTAATTGAAAGGTCCCGCTATTTATACCCTTCGGAGTGTTGAAATACCCTCCAAAGGCGCGCCCCTTTGTCAGTCAAAATTGGATTCCTTAGCAACAAAAACAAGCAATGACACCGATAATGACCATGCATCAGAACCCTAGTCTTAACCACTTCAAACTATGGAACAACGAATAGAAGATTAGGAATCACATATATGAAGACTGACTAACTCATTTTTTCCTTGTTTCAAGATCATCCTCGGTGGACAAAGCCGAGTCTTATCACTTTCAACAAGGCATAAAAAGTAACAAGGACTAAGATGTGTTCCTTTGATTACTGAAAAATCCTGTCCCCCTAGTTTGAAGTAATCAAGACTAGGAATCGGTGGTAGATCTTTCATCCCGTAACGTACCACAAAAAGGTGATCTACCCACGTTACGGGGCCAGAACATGACTTGGTAGTCCTCAGTCGAAATTCGAGCAACAAGAAATCAGCGCCATTCGTAAGCTGCCGTCTGCACATTGCACTGCACTGCACTCAATAGAAACGTACTCATACTAATGTAAGCGTTTGCATGTAATTAATTGTGTATTACACCAAGTTCAGGAGAATGTATCCTTGGACTGTTCGAGGCATCGTGAGGATTAAGTGAGAATTCCTTTAAGCATAGAAAGTATTATGAACATGCACTGGCACTGCTCCTCCTTAAGACTCGAACAACCTTTTTACTATAGCTAGACGTTCATTGAACTTGGTCTAGCAGTACTTTGAATTAATACTGGATGTTGTTTGGATCTTTCTGCTGATCCTGAATCTTGAAAATTTTCTAGACCGGACTGGAACACCTCCGAACTTATTCAAGAAGCTCTTTGAACATGTCCTAAGAATGTAAATCCTCCGAACTGCCTTAAAATCAGAAGATCATTGGACTTTAACCCACAAGTTCGTAAGAATTGCACTGGAAGCCTTCTCGTAAAATTTTATTTTTGAAGTGGTTATCCTATCACTGTGACGTTACTTGCTAGAAGTTGAGCTGGAAATCCTATGGACGTGATCTTGAAGACCTTTGGACTCAACCTGAAACACCTATGGGACATTCACCAAGAAATTTTGTTGACTGGCCCTGGTAACTCACCCAAGCAGCACACTTCGATCGAAATAAGCTGCTGCAACTTGATTGTGATTGCAATAAGTGGCACACAAGTAACCACAATTGTTCAGTGACATGTGTGCTGCTAGGGTCATAGAGCGTGCACTTGAAACCATCCGAACATACTCAGGGACCCCAAGGAACATTTCCAGAGAACGTCCATCCTTTTAATATGCTCCAGAAATCTTCTGGTTATTTACTTGTAAGGACACTTACACAACAAGTCCTTTCGATTTTTGCTTGGAAGCTTTGTGAACTTGTCTAAGAAACCCATTAGATATTCCTATTGAAGTTATTTAAACTTTCTCTGAATTTCATTGTTTGAGCATACCCTAAGGATCAGGGGTTTTCAATGTGTTGCGATGGTGGATCGCATGATGTTCTTATATGGGTTGCAAGAACAAATTTTAAGAATTTTGTGGAAAATTGATTTGATATATGTTGAGATAATCAAAATTGAGATAAACGTGAAACCTAATTGTTTTTATTCTTGTAAAAAAGCGCCTGTATTTCAAAGTATTCTGGACTTTCCTGTAGATCACTTATCACAAGTTAAAAAAATATCGGTAGAATTTTTTAAAGCGTTTGTTTTTATCACTACGAATCTAGCAATATTTCTTCTTAACCTAATTGCTCTCATATAAGCGCACAGTATCGGATGGTCATCTAAAAATTGCCTAATGTATTTTATATATCTGCGCCCAGCTAGCTTTGAGAAAATAAACAAATTAATCGGTTTTCCGAGCTGATTGAAAATATCACCAGGCCTTTTTAACCGTACAATCAAATGTTGTGATCTTAATTGTTCTACAGTGTTGCCAACTCTGCGATTTTCTCATTTGAAAAAAAAAATTAAATGCAAATACTTCGAAACGCCCTCACTTTTTTTTTATTTGATGGCACCATAAGAATCACTTAACGAGAAAAAAATAATATGCTTCGTTTAGGAGATTATTGAATTTCAAAGACTACAAGTTTTTTTTTAATGATTCACTACTCCAAACGCTTTGATATAGAATGTTGGTAGATTCTTGGAAGTTGCTCAAAACGATCAAACCTGTGAGTACGCTGAAGACCTGACATTTCTTTCTTTAATGATGAAATCTGTTTTTTTTTCTATAGTGTTGCCATCTTGTGACTTTTGCCCTGCCTTCGTTTTAAAAGTGTTTTGTGAAGAATGCTGAATTTATATCCGCAAACCTGGTGCAGATTGCTGGATAATAAAATGTTTATAAGTATTTTTTAATTTAATCACACTTTAAATTTTGCCTTTTTAAGTTACATAAAGGGTGTTACGATAAAAATTTTGTAATAAAAAAAATCAAGCAATTTTTCTTTTTCAAGTTCAATTAGTATAAAATACAGACAAAATATTCAGCAAAGCATCTGGTTCATCTAATCCGAATAACCGGGCCTTTCGTTTAACTCCTGCCATCAGATTATGTCTACTTTATTCGGCGCAGAACGCCAGTTTGCCTTAAACTGCTTCTCGCTTCCAACAGTTTTTTTTGGTCTTCTACAGGTTCCGCTTGACGGATGATTCATCATGTTTGCAAGCAACAGAAGATTTGACGCTATCTGCGTTGTTTGATTTTTTTTCTCCCGGACCTGAAATTTGTGACATCGCGAGTGATAATTTTAATTTTAGTTTATTTACGCGGTGATGATGTTGGTTCACTCGCAATTATTTTTGAAAAAAAATAAATGTTTTCGAACGAAAGTGTGTGTGTGTGTGTGTGTATTCAATCTAACCCCCACTGGCCGGCAGTGTTATTATGGAAGAACTCTCTCTACAATGTCGCATTTATGGTCATTGTAGACAGCTTTAGTCCGGGAGTTAGAAGGTGATAGCTCTATTGCAGATCCAGCAACCCATTTCAGAATGTCTGGAGAGTCACGCCCATTCCGAGGTTACTTTCACTTACAATAAGCCCCGTATGTATGCATCACCGTTATCAAATGGATATTGGTATTACATACACGCTTCCAGGTTTGAAAATATATTTTTTCAAACCTGGCATGTATTTAGTTTATTTTTGATATATATTTTTTTAATTTTTTAATAATTTTTAATTAATAATAAATGTTTTCGAACGAAAGTGTACCAAAAGTGCTTCTGAACGTGTTTCGCAGTTGGGTGTGGTGAGATTCGTGCATTCCCGGTTGATTGTGGAAATCCGTAGCACAAAATTGCCCACCGATTCCTTTTTTTTTGCCGTTCAAAGACGACGGGTGTGCTTTCGCGAGAGTGACGTTTATTGGATCCGTTTCTTTGCACGGGTGTGTTTTTTTTTGTAACTAGCGTAAGTGTGCCTGCGATTTGCACTGAGTGTCGGAGATTGTGAGTAAGCTGAAGGAAGCCTCGCTGGATACGGCCAAGACTGGACCGGGCGGTAGCTGGTGGCCGTGAACAGTTCCTGGGGAAAGCACTAGATGCGACCCTCCTCCCAGATGACCAGACCATATCAATGCAGGAAGTATCACAACAAAGGTAATTGCTATTAGATATTTGCAAACAGTGACAGATAGCGGACATGAAGAACCAGTGGAGGTGCCGGGCAAAGGTGTTGTATCCTAGGCAAATGGTAAGTTACAAATTCGCTGTTGTCGTTGTCGTAGGTGCCGTCGTATTCGCTGTTGTAATCGCCGTCGTAGTCGCTGTAGGCAGTACCGTTAGTATATTTAAAATTAACCATCAACCGCTAAAAATATGAATTATCGGGAATTTCTGTTGTTCATTACATGCCAAGTGAATCGAGAACGTAATTTCATTTGAATAGCTTTTCTAACCAGGTCTTAAACAATCGTCACGTCGGTCATAGCTTGTTATGGTTGCCTGAACCATGCGTAAAGAGAAAATTGAAACATTGAACGTCGCGTGAAAGTGGATCTTAATAATGGCCTAAGTACTCTTTCGTAGCTTTTAGTTTTAGGATTTCAAAGATTGTGGGTTGCAGTGGTATATTAAAAATGTATGGTAAGATCGCTTGTTTATCGTGTATTTTGTAAAACTTTTCGTTGTCGTCGGTGCAGGGTTTGAATAGTTATAAACACTTGAGTAACGCTATAATGTGATATGAGGGGCTCGGTGGCCTTAGAGCAACCGGTTTTGCTTGCTGAGCAGAACATCATGAGTCTAATTTCAAGCCCATCCACATTCAAGATTCGTCAATCGTTTTATTTGTTAACATGACTACATGGTAATAACAGCAACTCGGTGATTAAAGAGGAGCTCGTCTACCTAGTGGCAAAGGTTTTTGCTTACTGAGCAGAAGACCGTGGGTTCAATCCCAAGCTCCTTCGCGTTATATGATTGTTAGGACATCAATTCAGCTTATCGTTTAACAAAACGAGCCCTGCTGCAAACCCAACCCTATTACCCAATATCCCAGTGATTCCTCGTGGAAGTGCAGAGGTGTTCTCGGCTTCCATCAAAGCGAGTGTCACGTCAACACATTCCTACATCTTCCTTTCTTGACCTGTGTTCGGGCGCGGCCGGCGCTGGTATTGCCTAGTTTGAGATCACCAGTTTTTACACATTGAGGATGATTGCTAGTCCCAAGCATCGTCTATTGGTTCTCTGTGTAATTACAGCTGGTCTGGCAATAACAGAGTAGCAACCGTGGGCAGTCAATCATGCTCATGCTCTTCTTCAGGTTCCGCTTGACGATGGTCCAATATTTTTCGATTGGGCGGAACTCTGGCGTTGTTGGGAGGGTTCTTGTCCACTGCATGGCCTTTTCCAGACACTTGTTCACGTAAATTTCCTGGTTGACGGTCTCGGTTGCAATGAAAATGTCGCTTTTCAAGCCACAGGTACAGATAGCCTGCCAAACCAGATATTTCTTAGCGAAATTCTACAGTTTCATTTGTTTGGAAACGTCTGTCACCTTTCCCCTTCTGGTTGTTGTATAAGACTCCTGCCCAGGAAGCTGTTTGAAGTCTGCCTTGACGTAAGTCGGCGTGCGAGTTGTTTGGATTTTCGCGATGCACGTGCATAAATTTGATGCGTTGTTCCTCTTGCTTGGACGCCATTTTGATAACTGAAGAGTTCACACCATCACCGTCCTCTCAGCACCCCTATCAGCATCGATGGGACCGTTGTCCCGTTTAAAAATACGTTCTATCGCTGTTGCCAGGGCAATTATCCAATCACGTCTTTCTACGGCATCGAAATCACCTGTCTCGCCCGCAATCTTCTAATCTCCAAATTGGCCCCACGTACCGAGAAGCTGTCCGGATTTGCTTCGGTCTTCTCCCGCCTAGAGCGGAATGTTACTCTTGGACCGACTGACCACACAGATCTGTAAGCGGTCAATCAGTTTCGCTGAGAAGACAGATGGCTCTGACGAAGGAGTTTTCCTCCTTACCGAGGCAAACCTACTTCTTTTTGAAGCTGCCAATCTTGTGCTGCCCCCGGTGTCCAGGGTTGGAACCTGCCCAGACCCGTAATTGACTTGACAATTAACCCTCCGTTACTCGCGCTGTTGTACTTTGTACAACACGCATGAGTTTTCCATTGCCATTTTGTTGCTGAGTTACCAAACGAGTATTCCTCAAAAAATTTGTTTTGATCTAAACAAGCTAAACTTTGATTACAGTAAACACCTTAAAAAGGCGGATAATAGGGAAAATGTAAATGGAAACCGCGTAAACTGTGACCATACTACGAGGGATTTGACTTAAGTGATTACAACATGGAATATATCGAGACCAGATAGAAAGTTACTGTCTCCGACAAAGTTGTTCAAGAGATCCTAGCCTTGTCGCTGGCGGACAGTAGTTCAGAATTTTCTCACTACGTAGCGCTAGTATACATGTGAAATTCTCGCATGTGATATGTCTCGAGATCCTGACCAGATAGAAAGTTACTGTCTTTCACAAAGTTTTTCAGGAGGTCAAAGCCTATTGCTTTGTGCTTTTTGGTTGGTAAACAGTAGTTAAGAATTTTCTCACCACGTGGCGTTAGTATACATGTACACTTCTTGCATATGCTATATCTCGAGATCCTGATCAGATAGAAACTTACTGTCTACGACAAAGTTGTTCAGGAGGTCAAGGTCTTTTGGCTGGTGGTTCGGACAACGAGACTAACTCAGAGAGTGAGGCACTTTTGCTCAGTTGAATGGAGAAATTTATAAAACCGTACACTCCCGATCATAAGGTTAAGGACACCCCCTGAAAACGTCCAATTCTCGTTTTTTGTTTAGAAAATTCTGAACTACTGTTCACCAGCCAAAAGACCTTGACCTCCTGAACAACTTTGCCGAAGACAGTAACTTTCTATTTGGTCATGATCGCGAGATATTTTATACGTGAAAATTTCACGTGTATACTAGCGCCGCGTAGTGAGAAAATTCTGAAACATTGTGCACAAAAAAATAGGCTTTAAACTCCTGAACAACTTTGTTCAAGACAGTAACTTTCTATCTGGTGAGGATCTCGAGAAATATCACATGCGCTAATTTTACAACTACTCTCTTTGAACTACTCTCCACTAGCGAAAATTTTATGATCTCTAGAATAACTTTGCCCAAGACAGTAACTTTCTATCTGGTCAGGATCTCGATATTTTCCATGTTGTAACCAATTAAATCAAATCCCACGTAGTACGGACACCGTTTACCCGGTTTCCATTCATATTTTCTCTATTATCCGCATTTTTGGGGGTAAACTGTGATAAAAGTTTATCTTGTTTAGTTAATTAAAAAAAGTTTTTTAAGGAATTCCCGTTAGTTTCATATTGATTGGTAGCTCGACTGCAAAATGGCAATGGAAAACTCACACTGCTGTACAAAGTACAACGCACGAGTACTCGTGTCACAAAAGTTGGCGCGAGTAACGGAGGGTTAAAAAGAAGTTTAAGGCAGGATCCAACTCCCCGTACTAGTGAAATCGGTAACAGAGCTTCAACGAACCGTATAAAACGGCCATATAAGCCGATATTCCGACGGCTCCGCAGCTCACGGGGGTGTCGGTATAGGAATTACGGACTCTCTCATGACTGTATGCCACCCGCTACCGGATCAGTACTATACATATTTTCCAACAGACCAATCGCGGTTTTCACGGACTCTACCAGTGGATCAGATGAGGACAGACTACTGGAATATATTCAACATTTATCCATTGGACCCATTGAACCCGATCACATTTTTTACCACCCCCACAAAGACCGACCTTAGCTTCTCACTTGAATACGAACCTGGATGACCGACAATACTCGACCTACATTACTTTCTCAAATGGATAACGCTAACGGATGGTTTCTACTACAACACCACATGAATTATGACAGCAACAACTCTGATAAAACTGCAACTCTGCTTGTATGGGGCCCTCTTTTGGAGCTCCCACCTATATTCCAAACTCTTCAATTAAAGGGGCTTCCTTCTGGGGCCCCAGTATTAGCTCTGTAACTAGGGGATTACCCTTCTGAAGCCCTACCCATACCAAACTTTGTAACTAAGGGGGCTCCCTTCCAGAACCTCCAGTGGGTAAGAGACTGAAAGTCTCGATAATAAAGAAAACTAAACTAAACCAAACAAATGCAGAAATTAGAACATCCGATGTTATGACGGAGGGGTATTTAGTGTTATAATAATATATTAATATTATAACACTCCTAAGACTTAAGTTAAGTCTTAAATATATTTAAGATTTAGTTATATAAGTCTTAAAAAGAGGGTAGGGGGAGGTGTTGAAAAATCGCTAAAAACTGCTAATGTAATTACTGAAACCTTTATTATACCTATCACCGATAAATGATGTTGACCTAGTCTGGTTATTCTATGAGCATGCCCTGACAACCCTCCAAACTTGCTTAGGAATAAAGAATTTGAGAAGGATTAGTAATGTAATACTAAGCCTCAGGAATCTATCTGGACATGTCATGGAACGGCTATTCGCTGGACTTGTCATAGAAATCTTCTGACTTTGACTCGGAATCTGGACTTAATCAAGTTCTTTGGAATTGCATTGGAAGATATTTCTAAATGCTTTGGACACCATTAGAACTTGTTCAGGAGGCCTATGTGTCCCTAATATTGAGCCTTTACATAAATTTCGATGGAAAGCATGTTTCGACAACTCTTCACAAGCAACCAAACCTGTTTATTTGTATTGTCCAGATAATGCATTGTTTCAACAAAAATTGAAGAACAGAATATCTTTATCAATGGACCCAATATTTAGGCCAACATTAGAGTCATTTCCCCTATCTTATAAATCCCTTAGGCTTGCTCTACTGAACCAAAAAATATATTAACTTCCGAGAACGGTTCTTGCCTATTCACAATCTTTCGATGGTTTTAGAGGGCATTGAATTGAACATCGAAACATCCTACACTCACCTGGAGTTTCCCCGACGCTAAGCGATCGGATCGAGTACGTGTCGTCGTTGGTAAGGTTACTGCAGGAGACGGCCTGCGACCCGTATCCACTGGACGTAGACGAGCTCATGCTGGGCGTTCCAGCGGTAATGTTTTGATTTTTGACATTTCCACCACCAACTCCACCAGTGCCAACAACACCACCACCGGTCATGGATCCGATTTTACCTTTGGACATTCCGGTGCCACCGTACTTTCCGCCCAGATCGTTGGGCCGCTTGTCGATGTCGATGAACGATTCCACCGTGTAGGACGACTTCATCTTCGAGAGGCTGGGCTTTTTGGCGGGCTCGTAGAAATCGTAATCGGCGTACTCGGGTTCGCTGAATCGATCTTCGCCTTCCTCTTCGTAGCAGATTTGCTTGATCAGTGGCTCCTCGTGCAGGGTTGTCATCCGCAGGGCCAATTTGCTGGCCGCCGGGGACGCTGTTGTTGTTTTTGTTGTTGTTGAGGAAATGGAAATTGAGAATTAGAAATGACTTGGTATTTGGTCGGATTTGAGAAAAATACTGAAAACGGAAAACAATCATCGGAACACGACATCGAGCTATAATGAACGTAAGGAACGGAAATCAAGATGAGAGACACAATCTCTACGTACGCTTAGTTGGCTGTAATCGCAGGGAGTTCAAATTTATGTTTAAGTTTAGGAATGTGGGACGAGCTGCATTCCAATGAAAGTGTGTGAGTGAAACAAGAGAGAAAAGAGAAAGAGAAGAATACAATACAATGGATTCGGTTAGTTGGTTGGGATTTGTTCGCTCTGCCGGATCGCTTGTTCTGGGTGGTTTCAATCCATTGTAGAATGTCCTGGTCCTCAGACTAGCACAATTTCTAACATATTGTGTGAGATAGTGTTGTTCATGAGTGCAAACGAGTACATTTAGTATACACAATGCAATTTTCAATCACAAAACTCATTTGACTGATTACTTGGTAGTTTTCGGTGTTGGATTGTTTTTTTTTAGATTCAAAAGCACCTAGACACAGGGACGAGCTAGCTTTGTTTCTTACAGTAAGGGTTGCGATTCTAGAACTGGAGGGGAATGAAAGTGCACTTACCTGCTCCGTAGGAAGAATTTGGCGATTCATCACTGCTGCCAGCGGTGCTGGTCTTCAGCTTCTGTCGACTCGTTCCCGTTTCACGGGTGCTTTGAGCTGGAAATAAGGATATTAGATAAAACAAATTGCAATCTGAATAATAATTGATGTCTTACCTGAATTGAGTCCCATCTTCAAATCAGCAAACGATTCCGAACGGCCGATGCCCAGCAGAGATTCTAACGACGCATCAAAGAATCTCATCTAGAACGGTAGAGAGAAAATTCCTGTTTAGAACACGTATCAACCACTGAAAGTTGGACTTGAATTTTTCTATTACACAAACAAACGTATCGAACTAATGGATCCTTAAACGCTAATTAAAAGTCCGACGAATCGTCCTTTTTTTTACAACAATTAGGTACAAATATTCGGTTGGCCCGCGAGATCAGGACGGAGAAATGAGTGTAGCCAAAACACACAAAATCAAAACGGAACGGAAACGAACATACTGATATGCTTGTCGCACACACAGAAAACAAGAAGACGAAGAAGTCGGAACCGTATTCCAAAACATATAAGTGAAACTAGAGTGAAGAGTGAAAATCATGACGAAGAACGCAAGAGTAGAAGAAGGAGGAAGTGAAACTGTAAGCAACACATCTACGATACTTACGGTCATCGAGGTGGTGAGGCCAGTATATTCCCGGGTATCTTTTACGATCTGATTTGGCGCGTGTTTTTGCGGGTTTTTTAGTTTCAGATAAGGTGGTCGATTTTGGTTTTCAAATTTTGATTTTTTTTTTTGGCAATTTGGTTTTTATGATTTTTTTGGAATATTGTTAGCAGCGTGCAGATAATGTATAAATAGAGAGATAAATGTTCAAAGTGTTAAAGCGTATGCACATACAACGGAGAAAGAGAGAGAGAGAGAGACAGCTGTGGTAGGTGGTGTATCAATTTGAATCGATTTCATCAAAGGTATGGGCTTTTGGGGGGTGGAGGGCGGTTTTAGGCAGAAATTAATGCGAAAAAGAAAAGAATATTGATCAAAAGGACAACACTGTGTGCCTTAGCTTGGGGTATCTTTGCTATTGCCGGAAAAAGAAGACAGACGATATAAATAACAACGTGAGAAAACAAGACAAGAACCGAAAGGAAAAGTTGTTCAAAGCATGATCGTAAATTTACAGTGGGAGAGGCGCAGTACAAGGAAGTGTATAAAATTTCCAAGTGGGAATTTGACAAAAACGTGTTTCGACAAACGGAAAAAAAAGAAGACGGAGACAAAATTGTCACCGATAAAAAAAAGTTGGGAAATTTGAAGCAAGTTTTCTTGCCCGGCGGCTGCAGCGACGACACTAACGATGACGACGACGACGACGAATCGCACAAGGAAGCGGGATGGAGGGGGTTTATGGGGATTATACTGTACCTGTGAGAAGTTCGGCACGCTGGCTGTCTTTCGCATTGATAACGTTGGACCACGGACCTGTTCCAGTTCCTTCACAGCCACACTCTGTCGCAGACGGTCCAGGGTGAGAATGCTTTCCACCGCTGAGACTCCTTTGGTATATTTTTCTGTAATTAGAAAAAAAAGTGTTACTGTTTTGAAACCGCTAATCAAATAACTCAACAATTTACCGATATAGGTCTCCCCATCGCTAGCAGACACATCCTCTCCGGTAGCGGCAATCTGAGCCAGCGATTCGCGATCTTCCAGCTCCTCCGAAGCCTTTGGAATGTTTGACACCACCTCGTACGTTACACCCGACTGGAGCGAGCCCAATTCCGTCCGGCCGAGGCGCAACTTTTTCAGCCGATCCGTGAAACTTTGCCGCTTGTAGATGTTCAACGCCAACCGCTTTCTCAGCACCAGATCCATCGGGGCCGGATGCGACAGCCGAACCGTAGTCTTCAAAATAAGGTAAACTCGCTCGTTGGCCTCCGTCATCCGGTTCAACGCCGGGCTGTCGTGTATCGACGAGTCCCAACTGCAACAGGCGCAGATGTCCTTGTCCTGATGTTGAATGATCTGCAGGTTGTAGAACTTGTTTCCGTGTTCCTTTGGCAAGATTGAATTGATACCGGCAATCGGGACTTCGTCGTTCACACTCTGAGTGGTCAGATCGTCGGCATTGAGATCCAAGAATAGGACAGGTACGTGCGGTTCCATTCCCAGGGGTGGATCCCAGGATGCAGGAGCTCCGGGAATTCCAGATCCCGGTGCTGGTACAAGTACGGCATTTCGCTCCTCGGTCAGTGAGACCCACTGGTTTACGAGACTCTGTTCTCGTTCCTTCTCCTGTTCCGTCTTGTCATCCTTGTTGATTAGCTTCTGAATCTGCTGATCCAGGTACTGACGACGACGACCCAAGGCTTCACTCCACTTGTCTCGAAGCACCGTGAGATCTTCTTCCTGATATGAATCCATCGGCTTCTGCAGCTTAGACCGAACAGTGACGCAACCTACCGAGACGTTAATAATCGATTGGCAAATGATCGGTAGAGTCCCGGAGTTCTGCACCGGTTTAACGCGAACCATGATACGCCGCTGGAATCCCTGTCGCAGCTGGTAGACTCCACCGGTAAGCATATCCTTCGAACACTGAACATCAACCGGAGCCCAATCACCGTTGTCGTTTAGCTCGTGAATCTCTACCCACAGTTCAATCTTCCGGGACAGTTCCGCCCATCGGTCGGCAAGTGAACGAGCCTTCGCCTGCTGTTGTTCCACTTCCCAATCCTTCGCTCGGGAGAACCCAACTGACCGATGCCCCCAAACTTCAATCGACAATGCCCCATCGGTGCAGTGTTCCAGAAATTCTTCGTTGACTGTAATATTGAAATCGTTCTCATGTTCAAACTTAAATGTGATATTCTGATTGTGAGCGGCCACTTCCTGATTGGTAGCCGGGACGACTGCTACCTCGTGATTCCAGAACGAGTACTGACAGAACACAAAGTTGGATAGGTAAAGCGGCAAACCGGAAGCTTGTTTGATACTAATCCGGCAGGTGACTTGATTGCTAGGAGGATCACAAAGGTCATCATCCTCATGACTATCCTGGGAACTCTCCGAGGCGGATTCGTTGATCCGATCCTGTGGGAACATCCCAGCAACTCGACTGATTTCCAGCTGCAGTCGACCGGCCACCTCTCCCTGCTGACTGATGATTGGCGTGTGGTAGTCCAGTTTTACGTCATGGAATAAGACTTCCAGGAAAATGTTGGCCACACCGATGAGGTTATGATTCTCCTGGGACTCGTAGAACGGATCCGACTTGTTCTTGTTCTCGTCCATCACCGTAAAGTTGTTATCCTTGAATTCCTGGTACATGTCTCGCATGTCGATCAACTTGTTCTCCAGCTTTTCCATGCTCCAAATTTGACTGCCGGAGTTCATCCGACGAACCAGGATGGCTGGTTCACTGACAAACGCACCCCGCTTCCGGTTAGGACTGAGGTTGGCCGGCGGGATCTGCAGGGTGACGCTGAATTTGGTTTGCTTGATCATCTCTTCGGCGAGGACGTTTGCCTCCTGGACAAGGGAATTCGCCCGGACAATGTCGGTCTTCAGCTGACCGAGCGAGCGTTTGAACATTTCGTCCCGTTCCTGGGCCCACTTTTCGACGCGCATTTGAGCGTTCGGCGTGTTTGGAGGGAGTTTACCTGAACGGAAGGAAGGTTAGAATCAGTGAAATCAGAAATGATGCTTGTTGGCCCAAAAGTTTAACCAAACGTGCGTAGGTAATGTTAAAATCGCTTTGTCAGGATATCGGACAAATTGTAAACATGAACCATTAGGCCGAATGGATCGTCAGATCAAAATGGTCAATAGGCCGACAGTTGAAAAATCATTTTCATACAACCAGAAGTCAGCGTTTAGCAATGCACAGATAGAATCGTAAAATACTGCTGATGAGGTCAAAATCGATTGCAAGCTTTTGACCTTTATACGATGTACCATTTGTCATCGAAATTCACAGGCTTTACCCATTCATCTAGAGTAGCATGGGCTTTTTCCGTAAAGCAAAGAGTAATCAATTTTCAAACATTTTATTATATCAACGAAACCAAGTACAGTCAAGATTCCTATAGTACGGTTAATAGGGACCGCACTATAGGAACCGGCATTAACGAATACACGAAGCATATGGAATTAGAGCTAATTGGGGACAAACGCTTATTGAAGGGTGATTTGAAGAGTTAAACTTCCCGGTGTCTTCTGAAAAATTATTAAACAGAAAATTTCCCACCTTTTGGGATCATTTAGCATCCGGAAAGTCACGAGTCTGATCCTCCAGAAGACCCGAAATATACGTAAAAGTGGTCAATTCATGAAACTAATCCTAGAGTTACGCGGTTTTTTTTTTCGAAACCGCTCATAGACGTCTTATCAGAATGAATTCGAAGTTTTGACCTGAATGTTGACCCAGGGGACACCGGGATGGTCCACCGGAAGATCCGGAACATCCGTAAAAGTGGTCAATTCATGAATCTGATCCTAGAGCCCAATCGGGATAAAGATCATTACAATTCCATGTCTTTCAAATATAAATAAATGGAATTGGTTTTACTCAAACCTGAAAGCCTCCGCAATGAAGAAAACCTTACCTAACCTCAAATTGAATATTTCAAGCTGAACATTTCATTAGGTCCTAAGTAGCATTGACAGATTCTCTTCATCGACTTTCTCTTTGTATTCCCACGGCCATGTAAAGACATTACCAGGTATGTTCAGCACACAAATCAATAAAAGAAGCTTTTATCTAACATCTAATACGACAAACACAACAAGAAACGGTTATGTGGTGAAGTTATTAATGAAAGAGAAAGTCGACTAAGACAATCGATCAATGTTACTTAGGACCTAATGCAATGTTCAGCTTGATTTTTTTTTTCAAGTGATAAGTTGATAGCCTTTTTGATCCAGGATCTAGAAATTTTCAAATTTCCCGAATCTTGTAAGAGACTGAATCTCAAAATGTTTACTAAGTGGAGCAAAATCATTCGAGCAGTCAAAATTTACATTTCATTCACTCGAACCTATTCTCAAATGGTGTCCTTCTAGAACTTCGCAAAATTACCTATCGATGTGAACCCAACCCAACGTTTCCTCAAGAAACTTGTTTTGAACATAAAAGCATAATCGTTTACATTATTACGCTAAATAGTGCGGTAAAATACGATATTGTAAATCGAATCCGCGTAAATGAACAGTGTGCGGAGTTTGACATAATTGGTTCCAACATGGAATATTTCATGATCCTGACCTTATGGAAGGTTTCTATCTTCAGCAAAATGGTTCAGTGGGTCAAGGAATTTTGATCAGATTTTTCTCATTACACGGAGTTAGTCGCAAGTTCCCCCTTTTCCTATCCTTCGACAATGTACCCCTCTAACTTCGAGTAAGCCGCGAGTATTCGGCCCAACTCCTACTAGACATAGAAATAAGTAAATTTTGTTACAAAGAACAATGAAATATCAGCTCCGTAAAGCTAACGCGTTTGAGCCTTACAAATAAACGAACTAGATAAAAATAAACGTTGCAAGTGAATTTCTTGAATATGCTATATATTGGGATTCTGGTCATGTGTATGGTTACAGTCTTCGGCAAATTTGTTCAGTAGGTCAAGGAAATTCACTTGCACACTAACGCCGTGTTGTGAGAAAATTATACACTTCTGTCCACCACTGAACAAATTTGCAGAAAACTGTAACTTTTAATATGTCAAGGATTCCAAGATGGGGTAAACGCAACAATAGTGGAGGTACGTTAGTGCAATACCTCCACTATTGGTGGGGTTATCCTATATCATATTGAGGATATTTACTTACACACAGCGCCCTTAACTTCTGTCCACCAATCAAAAGTCCTTGACCTACTGGACAAATTTGCCGAAGACTGTAACCTTCTATATGGCCAAGATTCCAAGATATATCATATTCAGAAAATTCACTTTCACTCTAGCACCGCGTAGTGAGATAATTCTGAACTTCTGTCCACCAGCCAAAAATCCATGACCAACTGAACAAATTTGCCGAAGACTGTAACCTGCGATATGGGTCAGGATCAGGAGATATTCCGAGGAGGAGCAAACAGTCCACATGTGTTGTTCAAAGTACAACGCGCAAGTGATCGTGTTACAATATAGGAAAGGTTAAACATGTCTGGTAGAAGGACGGGCGATAGGGTAGAGCGCTACTTCGTCGTAATCGTCCATTTCCGTTTTATCGAGCAGAAAACATCAGTATAATCAATGATTTCACCGTGCACAAATCAATAATACGTTTGTATCGATGTGCTAGTTTACCAGCTACAACACAAAGCCTGTTAGAGCGTATTGTGTGAATATTTACACTCATTATTCTCAAAACAAAAGAACCGCTCCTAGCGAACTCGCTTTTTCTACCTTCATCCGTAAGACGAAGAAAATCCAATGGCCTTTCAATGCGTTTGGACGGAATTGAAACTCCTAGGACGAATTTGGAATCAAGAAGCAGTGTTAGATTTTTAACAATATCTCAACAATATTTGGTTCTTTATCAAATTCAACGGTACTTATGAAAAGTGGAATACATTTTTGAAGTAATCATTGATAGAAACATTTTATCTATTGTTAAAACCCGTTCAAGAAAGAGAGGTAAAGCGTGGGTTGTGCCTAGTAGGACGGAAATTAGATCAAAAACCCTACCTACTCGACTATTATTAAAGTTCGAAACATGGACTATCCTTGCCAGCTCTGGAAGATTTCTCCCCGGGTAACTGCATACCACCCACGTTACATTATTTTCAATCCCTTCCTAAAAAAACCCCAACTCACCTAGACGGAATGGATCGTACGGAGCGTAGGGAGCGTACGGCGTCGTCGGGGACAGTATGTTCCGCAGCTGCTGGAACTGCTTCTCGTACTCCTGGCGTTGCTTCTCCAGCGCCACCTGTTTGTCCTCTTCGTGTTGCTTCTCCAGCCGGGAGATGGCTGCCTGGATCGGATTATTACTAAATTCGTTCTGCATCAGTTCTTCTTGAGCGTAGTAGTAGTCCAAATGTTGAGCAGGTGTTTGAGGTTCGGACGTTAGGTTATTGTTGTTGTTGTTGGACTTTGGACAGTTTACTCGGAAGAAGTGATGATTTCCCCACAGGATACGATCACCGTGGTTCAGGGAGGTTTTGTCCGTCACGACGGAACCATTGACGCAGCAGCGTGCGTTCTCGATCGGTTCCATGAACAGTTCACCGTCTTCGATTGTGATGAGACAGTGCTCCGGCTGGATGCCCAATCCGAGGAGCTGGATATCCGGCTGCTTGTTGTTGTCATTGCTTCTACCACCAATCAGGGTATAATTCTTCAAATAGTACACGAGCAGTTCGTTCAACGAAGGATCGGCATTCAAGTTAACCAAATAGTACTTGTTCTTCTCCACTTTGATACCACTATCCTGAACACTGATTCCCATCTTCTCCAGCGCCTGTTGTCGTTCGCTCTGAATCTGTTCCGTCTTCTCTAACTTCTCCTCCCAAGTCTGCGAGATTTGCTTCATCAGATTCTCACTTTCCGCCAGCTTATCGTGGATGTCTCCCCGTTTCATATCGCCAATACTTGCTCCAGTTGCATGCTTCAACATCTCTCTCAACGTCTCAACCTCCCTCCTGAGTTCACGAATAATTCGGGCATTTGGATCCTCGTTAACCACGGCATGATTGACGATTCTCTTCGCCCGATCCGCATACCGCAGCGTCGACAGCGTCTCTTCGTAGTTATCCGCTGCCGGTGAAAGTGTTGCCACCATCACCGTCTTGGAATTTCCACCCAAATTATCCTTCAGCAACCACGTCAACACCGAGTCTCGATAGGGAACGAATTTGTCCTTGTTACGACTCCCACTGGCCTGGTCGGCCAGTTTCGATATCACCAATCCCAACGTGGTCAAACTCTTGTTGATGTTCGAACCCTCCTTCAACCGTTCTCCGACGGCACCAGTTTTCACCGCCCGCTCACTACCGGCCAAATCGACCAACGAGACACGGGACACCTTCTCGCCCGTCACACCGGACAGCGTGTCGATCAGAGTCTGCGTGAGCACCACCGTGAAGACTGCATGCGAACGAGACGATTCCGAGTTCATGTTGGTGGCCGCCACCGTTCGGGACTTGTTTCCCTCGGCCATCAGGTTATCGATGTCCTGTAATTAGAGAATTAAATAAACATTGCTTTAATAATTGAGATACTCAAAGGTCAGCTGAAACTCGATGGCAGATACCCAGAAAACCACAACCCGTAATAAAGCAACCGAAAAATCCTGACCCACCCACAAAACACACAATCCCAATCACAATAATCCGCAATATAATTACAATCCATTCTCCGTCGGTTAAATCTGCTTAGATTTGTTTTTCTTTTTCGTTTAGTTGGTGAGAAAAACCGAACCGTAACACGCAACCATATGTGGCCGGGCACTTGCATGTGGACACACAACACACGCTAATGCCTACCTATACATATAGGATAGATAATGCATGGTTTTCCCGACCGGAGCGGCCGACCATGCGGTAAGCCCAGGACAATAAATGAAGTGAAAATCTCCGGAGAGTCGTTTGATTCGTTGGTCGTTTCTTAGTTCTTTTTTTCTCGTCACTAGCGCAGGACTCGTAATACCCGGAGTGAGTTTTTCCTGGCTCACTTTATTTATGTGCACGATAGTCAGCGCAAAGTTATAGTAGTAACAATACCGTATATCTCACTCACAGTGGTGGAAGGGAAGGAGGAGAAAAGAAGAAGAAGAAATGTCGCGCTGAACTGTCTGACGGGAAGCTGCTGCGGCGACCCTGTGCTTGGTCCTTGCCAGAGGCCTTTGAGCTAGCGGTCTTCCACACTACTGGTGTACTTTCTGTGTCTATGCAGGAAGAGAACAATAAATTACTCTATCGAGATTCACGATTTGGCACCCGTGGGGATGTAGGTCAGATGAACGGTCTTGGTGCTGGCGCTGATACTGCTGCATTAGTTGGAGTTGGAGTGCGGAAAAGTTTCGCAAGCGAAGTGGGGATTAATGAAATTATATTACTTGGACTCTTGGGCAAAGTTTTGCGGAGTTATATATAGTTCCAGAGAGCAGGACCGTGCATTATTTAGGTTCTTGAAGATTGTCGCATAAACGGTTTTAACGTGAAATTTCTGCCTGTTTCACATCAGTTGAAATCACGTTGCAGTACTGATTAGAATCCCGGTTAGCCCATTTAATATCGGAACCTGAACCTGAATACTTTCACAACAAAAAATTACATACGGTTCTCTCATAACGGCTTCAATTGACATTCGATTTAGATAAATTTCCAATTTATTTTAAAAGGAGGTAGTCATCTATAACCAGGTTCGATTCCTGGTTCGGTTGAAGAAAATTTTCTCGACTTTGGTGGGCATCAGTCTTCACGAAAACATGTACCATGCTGAGCTTGTGTACAAAAATCCAAGCGAATGTTTAGTTTGAACTTGCGTGCAATCTTAAACCCATGTACATTTCACACAATACACTCTGGTGTATCAATGTTGTTCGCAAGTGTATGCGCAGATGTTTGTACACGAGTTTAAACATGAGCTTAAACACTGGTTTACACACGGGGTTGTGCACGGAGCAAAATTTTCAGCAGTCTTCACGAAAACATGTACCATGCTGAGCTTGTGTACAAAAATCCAAGCGAATGTTTAGTTTGAACTTGCGTGCAATCTTAAACCCATGTACATTTCACACAATACACTCTGGTGTATCAATGTTGTTCGCAAGTGTATGCGCAGATGTTTGTACACGAGTTTAAACATGAGCTTAAACACTGGTTTACACACGGGGTTGTGCACGGAGCAAAATTTTCAGACAGACGTGCTCGCCCTTTTGCGCGCCAGCAGTGTGCATGTTGCAGCTTCGCTTTACGCCAAAATGTTGCAAATTTTCTGGCGCGCAAAAGGGTGGGCACTTCCATGCATTAAGTACGTCACGCAAAATGTTGGGTAAATCAACACCCCTCCCTTTTCGTCACCATGTGATGTCATGAAAAAATTAACAATTAATAATTTTCCGGTCTGCCTAAAGTGGAAAAAAACAAACTTTTTTTGTTTTTAGATATTTTTTTCTAATTTTTTTTTTCGTTTTTTTTTGGGTTTTAAAGGTTCACATAGAACAAAAATCTTTTCTGAATAAGGTTCAATTGATAAAAGTATGTTTTGTTCATTTTTCAGGTCTCTAGAACGCCCGCCAATTACCAATCCCCTTCCGATGTGACCCCAAGGAGCCACAGAGATTACACACCAATGAAACAAATCTCAAATGTAGAGAAAGATTTAAGCAATTTAATGCAAAAAAACCCCAAACGTTTGCGAAGTTTCATTTGCTCACAAAAAAATTCCGAAAATCGTCGAGTTTTTGACGTGTAACTTGTATTTCCCCCCTTAATTGATTTCTGCTTGGAAAATGTTACGAATTTGGTCGAACAGAAGATACCTGTTTCAGCACAGTTGTTCAGGTGACTAAGGTCTATTCGATGGTGGACATATAAGTTGTGAATTCATTAACTGCGCGGTGCGCGCATATGTGATTGATCATGTTTCATATCTTGGTACCCTGGCTTTTTGGGAAATTACTGTTTTCTGCAAGGTTGTCGTGGTACTTTTTCAAGTTGCGATTTTTTCGAAGTATACTGATAAAATAGTTTGTTTATTATTTATTATAAAATTATGAAAAGCAAACAAAATTAGTCAAAAACATAAATTCATAAATTCAAAACAAAAGGAAACATAGATCCAAATACAATTTCATGAATAATCTTAACACTTGGTTTTTAAACTGCATCATTCTGGCGGTATTTTTCCATGGCTGGTTCCAAAAGATCCTTATTGAATCGAATTATCATCAGATCATTAAGCATACTGGGTGACATGCGGAGTCGGTGTTGTTCCAGTAGAAGTTTTATTCCAGAGAAACACCGCTCTACCGACACCTCTGTTGCTGATGCGGATAAAGCTATCATAGCGAGGTCGTATATCTGTTCATCATCATAACGCCGAGCCTCCCAGTACTTTAATATATCGGTGCTGGATGGGAGCCGCGTTTTAGAATTTGCCAGATCAAGAAGTTTGACTTTTAAGTCGATCTCAGAAGGATTAAGCTTGGATGTTGACGCACGCTGACATTCTTCTTCAAGCATGGTTTCAAAATCGTCATCGCTTGACTTGGTAGCAGCGAGACATTCTGGCAGTTCTGATTGCTGTTGAATTGAAGATTTCTTTTTGAAAGTCTTCAATATGTTGGCAACTTTCAGCATGTGTTCCTAGATAATTTGAAAATAAATTTTAAGATAATATAATCGAAGAATATTGTAAATTTCTTAAGTTTAATTTCCTTTTTGATACAAAAAAAAGTATATTCAATCTTTTGTGCAAAATTAATCATACAATGTAATTTTGTCTATGTACTAACATAATTAACTGACTTCATTAATTATGTGCACGTATTCTGTTGCTCTACACACACTAATGCAAGCCTCCAATGTTCGGTAATTTTAAAACTACGGAACTGTCCGGTTAAAGTTTAAAAACTTGTGAAAAATTCAATTAAGAAAAGTTATTCCAAACTTGTAAAAACTTTATTCAGTTAACAAAAAATACGTTGATTTAATCCTTTGAATTTGTCGAACCTCTTAACGGAATGTCTTTATGAAGAGCTTTGAGTGGGTTGGTTTATTTCCTTTAAATTCCTTTATAATTGCTTATATTTTGACAGATACGCGTATTTCGTTTACTACTTGCAGACTTCATCAGTGCGAAGTACTCAACACCACTTGATTTAATTGATTTCTAACGTGTAACGGCTATTAAAAATTTAAACGACTTTTAAACTGTTCAAAGTGCATGCTGTTTCTTCAATTTAACGGGTGTTCAATAAAAAATGAGAATTTTTTCAGTCACATAGCAGCAAAAAAAATTTTTTTTTCAACGAATTCAGTATTTTTTGAATAACATAATGTTTATTCTTCAAAAAACGTCAATGAATATTGGAAGAAGGGGCCCTGGTCAGCCGTACGACGCGACTTAGTCGCAATGCTCTCACAAGAGCGCTGGACGGCACTGAAGACATTCTCATTTTTTATTGAACACCCATTATAATAAAACTAGGCTAATCTAAATTATCCCGGTGATCAAAGACATTTTGTTTTACATTGCACCATATCTAGTCAAAAATATAAATTATCTATCGTTTAAAAAAACTGCATAAATATTTAATTATACTTACGATCGCCTTCAGCCTTTCATCCATTGAAACATATGGCGAGTCGATAAAGCACCAGCGTTGGTCGAATAGCAAAGCCGCACGGAAGGCATCATTATCCATCATACGTATAGCTCTACCCTGTAGTGCTTGTTTAAGACTTTCTGAAAATCTATTGGCAGCAGGGATCTTACTGAGCTTTAGTTGACATATCTTTAGGAGCTTGAAAACGTCTCCTAGAATCAAATCATTCGCTTGCAGAGCTTTTGTTAGAACAAACAGCGGTTCGAATGCTGCGGTGAACTCTTCAATGTAGGTCCAGTCATCCGCTGTTACGTGCAATTCTTCAAACTTTTGACCAATATCCTCGAAAAATGCTTTTCTGCTATGTAACGAGTTGATCATTTCATATAGAGAGCCCCATCTCGTTTCCACATCTATTTTGGGCAGCGGAAACTTCTCAATTTCGAAAAATGGCTTGTATCCAACTTTCCGGCACGCTTTAACAATTTTTCGGACTTTTTTAAGAATGTCGCATTCCTTATCCACAGCATCATTTACAACCAGATTAATAGTATGGGCTGCGCATTTTAGTGTAGCAATACAGGATTCTTTACCGCTAAGAACAATGTTCTCAACGGCCTCCAACATTTCGTCAACTTCACCAGTGTGACATTCATTATCGTCTTCTTCATCATCGTTTTCATCATCACTGGCTTGTTCGTGCTCAATGGAATTGAGTGCCACTTGTTGCGATTTATTCAATTCTTGCCCACACTTTTGTACATTTTTTCCGTTATCAGCTGTGCAAGCATAAACATGCGTGACATCAGTGCTGTATGATTTCAATACTTCTTCAATGGTGTTTTTCAGGTTCTGAGCAGTTTGCTTATCGGTTATCTCCATCATCGATAATGTGCGAGTGGAGACTTTTCCACCATGAAGTATTCGAGCGTTAATCCCGAAAATCTTTCGGTTGTGCCGCACAGCTCCATCTATTTCCAAACAAAAAAAATCTTCAACTCATTCGCAATCATGCCCCTGATGATATTGGCGATAGCAGGGATACTTGAAGCGATTGCTTCACCATAGACGGGAATGTTTAAGCTCTTAGCTAGTGGTCCAATTGTAGCGCGACAAGCATGCGAGTTGAAGAAATTGAAAGAAATCGAATTGATAGTCGCCATTTCAATTAATCCACAATGGAATTCAACAGGATCCACTTGAACAGATACGGTTTTCAAACGCTTTGCTGGAGATGGCGAGGAGATCGGTTGGTCGGGTTTTATGCGTTTGTAGCCTGTGATTCCAATTTTTGCAGCGGTTTCTGGATGTATTTGAGCCAAATGCCTTTTCAAACTGCTCAATACATTTTTGAGTCTCCCGGTGCATCCAGGAAATTTGCATAGACACACATTATCTTTCTCATTGTAATGAAAATAATGTGTTCTGAGATTAACATTAGGCGTATTACCTAGTATTCAGGGAATAAACAAATGATTGCTTTAAACTTCAGACTATTGCGAACATTGTGAATTAGCTGCTGATTAATAATACGAAAAAATCTTTATTTGTTTTGTAGTATGCACACAAAATGCTATATAGTGCCCTAGAGAACGGGGAAGTGGCCAAAATCTGGCTTTAAACAAAATACATCATTTAACTCATCTATAATATGTTACAAGGTTGTTATAATAATTATCAACAAGAAAAATGTCATCACTATAACCTTGTAACATGTTACAAGACTACTCCGTAGTCCGAACAGAGCATTAGAGGGATGCATTTTTTTATTTTGCCTATGTTGTGTATTTTCAGTGAAAAATTGCAATGCATATTAACATCACAAAATATAATTATGACATACCGTTCATGATTACGAATTCACATGTAACTTAATATCACACTACACCACTCGCTGTCAGTAAACTGCAAACGAAAGACTGAAAGTTTTATGAAATTGCTCAAGCCTAACTTCTTCTTATGAGTAGTCTTCACGATACAAAATGTGTGCGAGGTACACGTTAGTTTTTTGCACACGCTTGTTCCCCACATTCTATATTCGCTTCTTCTTCTGAGCTTTTGCGTTTGCACATGAGTTTGAACATTGGTGCGAGCCGCGGTGCGAGCTGATGTTTGCACTTGTTCATTGTACTTGCGTTCAAACTTGTGTACAAATGGGCTTGAACATAGCCGAACATAGAATGGGAGCACAAGCGAGTGCAAAAACTAACGTGTACATCGCACTCATGTTGTACCGTGAAGACTGGTGGGCATAGAAGTAAGTGGACGAGATTGTATGAAAAAAGATCAAAAGGACAAGGTCGACTGTCAAGGTTTATTAGGTTCAATGGACAAATCGAATGACGAGAAGGGAGATACAGCGGCGCCGGTGGTGTATTGGTAAGCGTGACTTCTTCTCACTCCAAAGGGTTTGGTTTCAATCCCAGCCGGCGCCGTCGGGATTTTCTGAGGCATAACATCTCTGATCACGCCTACCTTCGAAAGGGAAGTAAAGCCGTTACTCCCCGGTCCATGAGTTTGATGGGTCGATATTGTAGGATCCAGGTGTGGGAGCTGCCTCCCTGGCGTCGGTAGCATTGGTACTTAGTACGGAAAACAAGTTCAATGGAAAACATATCATTTCATCCGACTTCTTCTGGATTTTTTTTAACGCCTACTTGCTGGAGTTTCTTTTGTCCCAGAAAATATTTCCGAATTTTGCAAGAAGTCTCTTTAAATTTTCCAATATATTTTCATCTGATTACAATTAAGTCCTTCTGGCTTCTCCGATAGCTTCTTTTGACTTCCGCTGGCACGTTCATCAAACTACTACAACAAGTTTCTCAGTGTTTGGAAATCTGTCAACATGCCATTGAACTACCGTGTGTCAGGTTCGTAACTGTTCATGAATATATATTCACAAATTAGTGAAGTGTCAGACACCTTTGCCTCAGTTTTGTAGCACCAGATGAATAAACGAAACGAAGAACGATGGTTTAATACCTGGGGGCAAGACAGCTTTTGATTGTGAGTAATATTCGAGTTAATTTTGAGCAACTCTGAGTAACTCGAGTTGCTCAACATGCGATGCATGGTAACACAGCAACCTTTTTGTGTTTATTCCCGAACTGTCAAACAAAGACGTTCTACTGTGATAAATATTTCTAAATTCTGCTGCTTCGCATTATTGAATGGTGAATCCTGATAAATATGGGCGTCTTATTTGAATACCTGTATAAATAAAGAGATCAAAAGGTGGTTTACACTGGATAACCATCCACAGATCCCATGACCTTCCTACTTCTCCGTGCCAATCCTTTGTACGCCGTTTTCATCCGAATCTAGTGCAGCCTGTTATCGGTCTACGTTGTGCAGATTCAAGATATGAACAATTTGCTGAAGTGCATTTTTGGTTAAATTGACCGCAGTTGGAATCTTCGAGAGGTACGAAAGCTACGACTATTGCTTTGTAATAGTATTCTCTGACTTTTGTCTGAATTCCCAAGAAATAGGGCAGAACTTTGAGGCAGCAACCTCATAGTTCTATTAATGCAGAACGTGGGCATTCAGAGAAGTATATTCTAGAAAAATAATCCTTGTATTAATTTGGTTGTTGGTTGTCATGATTTTCAGAAATATTAACTATAAGCAATTCTATTTGCCACTAACTTCGAGCCGAGATTAATAGAAAAAGCAATATATTGTCATCGTATAGTCATATTTAAAATTGTATGTTTCGATCAAACCAAATATAGCTCCCATCCATCTTGAATTCTATACATATTCATGTTTATCCTAGATGCTGAAATTTGTAATGTGTTGAAATGCAGAACCTCTGCTTTTCCAAGCACATTAAGCCTCATAAATCACGTCTTGCCGGGTGATACGGATACATTTTTCATGTTAGGCCATCTTCGGAGATGGCATTTTTTACCTTGTTTGCCTTTACATAAAGCAAAGTTCTTAGATTCCGCTTATCAGTGTGATTCATGCTGTTAATGGTTTCAATAGTTTAAATAACGATTTATAACAAGAATATAATAAAATAATTCTAATTCTCCTCCTCCTTTTTGATTGGGTAACCGTATGGGAGAACTTAAGTTTTAACTTTCTGCCTCTTCAAGATCGTGCGAAAATGTTCGTTTTTGTAAACAATCTTGTTCCAAATAAGGAAAAACTCAAGCTTTTTTTTCTTTTTTTTTTTCTTTCTATTATAGTCGCTTTAAGCTTTACTATATTGGCTATGCATAGACTAATTGTGAAAAATGTGGTTTGTCTTATTCTAATCAACATCGGATCAAGCAATGCACGAAGTCAAAAATAATCTGGGATTGGTGCAGCCATTATAGAGTGGATGAAGGTTAAGGCAAAGGATATCGAAGATGTTCTTCAATTGGAGATTCAAAACTCTTCAAAGCACATAATGTTGATTTACACTGTAGTTTGTATTTGTTGATGGATATAAGGCCAGACTACTTTGATCCTTTTTGAGTAATTATGAGTTACTCAAATTTACTCTGAGCAAAAATATTAACTTTGAGTACAGCTGGCTTGCCCCTAGTTTAATACAAAAAAAAAACGATCTCAACAGGTCACCGAATAACGCGTTCAATGATTGTATACAACTTTGAACTGCACAAATCTTCTCTTCGTAGCTACCGCACATCATTGCCGTATAGATAAGAACAAAGCAGTGGATGATACATAAGGAATCACAAACGTCATCTCTCTACCGCAACAACTCTGGCAGTAGCAAAGCGCAGCTAGGTACATAAGGAACATTCCTTCGTCCTGCGGTACCTGGCGAGCGAATAAGGGAAGAAATAATCGAAGAAATTGAACGTGGATAAGTTAGTTAGTTTAGATTTATTATGAACACGGATCAATGTTACTAGTTGGATTACACTTCATGGTCGGTCGAAAATGAATGGAACTAAATTTATATATTCAATAAAACTCTGATAAACTCTGATTTTAAAGTTATATGAAGAAATAACTTCCTGGTTTCTTCGGGGAAGCTGTTAATTATCCTCCTTTTGGTACAGTTTGTCTTCCAACGGGACGCAGAATGGTCCTCTGTACGATTCGGAACATCCGTAAAACTGGAAAATTCATGAAATTGGAGTTAGAGCTGCGCAGTTTTGAACGGATGCACTTATTAGTGAGTTTTAAGAAAAATATGGGGTGTTGGCCCAAATATGTACCCTGGAGGGCTAAGGCTGGTCCATTGAAAGATCCGGAACATGCGTAAAAGTGGTCAATTCATTAAACTGGTTCTAGAGTTCCATGGTTTTTTTACGAACACACTTGTTGATGTGTTTTTAAAATTAATTTCACATTGTGGCCAGAATATGAACCCTGGAGATCACAGACTGATCCTCCGGAAGATCCGGAACATCCGTAAAAGAAGTAAATTAGTTAAACTGATCCTACAGCTGAATGATTGTTTTGCGCATTCATTTGTGTCCAGAATATGCATCATATTGATCTTCTTTGAGATCCCGAACATCCGTAAAAGTGGTCAATTCATGAAACTGATCCTAGAGCTCCATGTTTTTTTTCTGCGCAAGCACTTGTTGATGTGTTTTCTGATTGAATTTGGCATTAAGGCCAAATTATGCACCCTGGAGGCCACAAACAGGTTGTCCAGACGATCCGGATTATCCATGAAAGTGGTCAATCACGCTTGCGACAACATATGTAATATCCGTGAATGGGTGTTTTCATATATTTTTTGGACAACTTTGCAGTGAACAGTTATTTCCTAGAATGATAAAGTCTTGAGATATGATACATGCACAAGCTCTTACGTACACTAAAGCCGTGTAGTGAGTAGGTTCCAAACTTATTGTCCATCATTTGAAATGACCTGGTTAGCTTACCAACTATGTAGAAGACTGTATTTTCCTAGTAAGTCAGGATTTTGTGATAAAGCACATAGTAAATATCACATATGCAATAAAGCCGCGTAAC